ATATTATCACTTTGGTCTTCATACAATCCTGCCAGGATTGTAACCCCTCATGATTTACTATCTGACCATTTTAAATGAAGTTGTCTGGGGTCTCTCCCAAAACTTGTTATATGCATTCAGCATGGCCACAGGCGAGGAATAATGAGAGTTGTATTTTAGTATCACCAACCAGGTTTCCCCATTCCTGTTTCAAGGCAAGGCACCCACCTCAGGAGGCCAGCGACAAGTCAGAGACTCATCACAACTGGGATGCTCTTCTGCACAACAATGTTGAGGTGGAAGGGAGCTGTTCCTTAGCAGCATTCAGGTCATGCAAATCCCCACTCCATCTCAGAGGAAACCGGATGGAAGCATTTGCTGGTCAGTTGCACCCCCAGTAAATCAGTGTCAAGTACAGTAAGAGCATTTTAATTTTCTGCCTCAGACAAGGAAATGTCTTAAAAATGCCTGGGAAGGATAGACTTGAACTAGCAACAGCATTGGGTGTGCAAGTTTACTGCATTTTCTATGCCAGAAAATACTGCATTTTTTATGCCAGAATTATGGCTTTTCCTCCCATTTTTCAACTTTCACAAAGGAGCCAAAATAAAAAGCATATTTTTTGCAGTCTTTGAATGTGGAGCTTCAGCAGCATCATTGCCAGTGAAGCAATGATGCGGGCGGAGACGGAGGAGTTGAGCAACTGTTTTCTAGCCTCTTAACAAGATCCCCACCAGTGCAATAAATCCTACTGTCTGCTCCTCCCATCTAGAGCCCAATTCCTCCTCCCTTCCACCATTACATTTGTTTTGTATTTAAAACAAAGTTCCTCCCTTACCCTATATGGCATTACCTTGAATAACCCATGGCAGTGTTTTTTTTTATGTTAATGCCTAAGAGCTGCAGAAATTTAATTTAAGCAGCAGTAAGAATCTTTTTTTAGATGTCCTATCCGTGTACGTGTACGACAGCCATGTACAACAGTTGTCAAAGCAAGGCCAATGTAAGAAAGACAGGTCAATACGTTGCTTCCAAAACTGCTGCTTTCCAACACATTATTGAGTAGATCATGCAACAAAGGGTTGTGCCTTTCATTAGGTTCACAATATTCATCATGATTGTTTTCCAGCCCTTTACAAAACTGGCTCTCCATGTGCCTTGCTTAAATTTCATTCATTCATACATTGATACACAGTAACATTGATTATGAGTGTTTCATTACTGATAAGATAGACTTGTGTTTCTGACAGATGTAAATGTAAGTCTCTGAAGTTGGGGTTAGGTTTTATTAAAGTTAGATGTTTGAGAAACCTTTGTGTGATATTTTACCCTGTTCTAAAATATCTCTTGCTTCACCAGTTTGCCAGTAAAAGGATGGCAAGATTTTTTCCTTGGCCCAAACCCCAAGAAAATAAAAGATAGTTTTGCAGTTTTTGAGAAATATATCTGTAGCATGAGCCATCTGGCTCAAAATCCATCCCACTTAAGCATTTCACTTCTAAATGATAGGAAATTCTACAGGCAAATGTTGAGAGGATCAGAGATGATGCAGGGATGTTTTCTGTAAACAGTTGATAGACCAATACATAAGCGTGGGAAAGTAGAGAGGTCCCCAAGAGGGAGTGCTCAATTTTAAAGCCGCATCAATCACTCCAAAATAAATAGCATATACTGTAATTGGACAACTCAACCATCCCTCTTGTCAGTTAGCTACAAAGCTCAGACTTCTCTCTCTATCACTGGGCACACACTTAGTCTCTCCAGTCCATGCAGATGGAATGAATTTGGTAGCTATTAGCACCAACCATCAAAGAGTTTAGCTATCCATCATTACCAAGGAAACATCTTCAACGATTAGCTGAAAACCCAGAGAAGGAATTTAACTCACTGCCACCACAAAATAATAATTACAATACTGCAGAGAAGGCACACTATAAGCCATCACATAATGTTCTACAGGAGGTACAGGAGAGATTCATCTTGAAGCTAAATCATTTTTCAAAATAAATTTTGTATGGGGAATCTACAGAGGCAACAGAGATTAGTTCTGGAAAGGTAAAATTCGATTCGTAGCTGTGAAAAAAAAAATCCTAATGCTACACCATTAAACCTCACCAAAGATCAGCAGTTAGAAGTTCAAGTTGGAAAGCAATAATCCAAATTAGAAACACACCCTGATTTTTGTTTTATGTTAATTGAGACAAGTGAAGGGAGGGGTGAATCTGTTCTACAGAGATGTTTTCATTGTCCTGACACAATCCAGCATGGCAAGTTTTAAATTTCTCTGCCCTCCTGTTAAAAAATGGAATCTACGGATGGAATGGAATAAAAACAAGAATGGAATAAAACAAGAATACAAAGACACATATGGCCCAACCCTTACTGTCTGTTCGTATAAATATGGCTACATAGCTCCATCGTTTTCAGAGGTAACAGACCAGCCTAAAAGTTAACATCAGGGACAACTGTGTATTAATTGAATTGACGTGATCTTCTCAGTGGGGATTAGGCACAGAATAATAGCACTGAAACCATTTTTATTCACCTTGGCAAGTAACATCTCCCAATGCTATCACTCCATTATTTATGAATTCTGATTTATATCTTTTAATTTTTAATGCATATGTTTAATTTTAAATTGCATAAAGGGGAGTAGCATAGCATGACAGATAGTATACAAATAATACATTAACATTTCTACCTTTACTGTTTTTTTGAAAAAAATAAAACCTCTGTGTTGTGGATAGCAGTCAGCCCTTCTGGGTCAATCCTTCTAGATAACTAGAGACATCTAGTGGTAGACATATATAACGAGAGGAAGGGATTCTGACCCAATTTATAGTAAGAATGAATTCACCTTGCAAATAATGTTTGTGTTTTTGTAGGCCCAATTATTAGAAGCAACAGAATGGCGTAGTAGAGCTGACCAATATTTGGGGTAACTAAACACACCCTCCACTTGTATTTTATAACTGCAGGACAAAACCTGAGTAACACAATCCAAAACTTGAGATTAGAAAGTACAATAATTAAATACCTTTTCTTGGTCGTCCTGACTTTGGTCTTGTCATTGTTTCTCAACCTAATATATTCCATGAGCTAGTTGTGAAGCTAAATCAAAGTTGTAGACATGTGGAAAAGGAGAGGAGATCCACAGGGGAAAGTAGAATATAATTTAATAAAATTAACTACGAGTCTGCTACCATACACCTTAATTCAATAGTAGCACAGCTAAGAAAGTAGTTAGAGTTTCTTTAATATAACAGATTCAAAACAATGCCCTCAAAAATGGAATACATAAGATACACTCCATATACAAATAAAAAGGTTTAAACTGTATCTAACTAATCAATATTCACCAATCAGCTGTAGATCAGTGTAAGGTTTTTAAGCTAATTTTGAAAATATCACAGAAGGAACAAAAATGTTTTTCTCAATGCTAGACTCCTCCGGCAGTCAGAATGAATTACTCTGAAACAGGAACACTCAAATTTTCATCTTTCATGATGCCAAAAAAAAAAGAGAAGCTTCTCCATTGCCTCTACACTTCTACAAAGCTCATGAAACTCAGGGCTCAACATCATAGGACTTCCTTTGCACCTGAGAAAAATTATAGAAGAGGGCTGGGAAAGTGTGAGCAACATGCCCTTAAAAACAGCCTCTCTTGAGAAAGCAACCGTTTGGTTTTCATTCTCTCATAGATAGATAAGCCATTTCATTCCCCCACCGCACTTACTACCCACAGCTTATTTTCAAGACCAAGTCAATGAATAATTACAGCTGCCTCTGCCAACTTTTAAAATACCATTCAATTGATGCACACACAACTTTATGATTTAATAAAGTCTCCTGACCACCAATTAATTTCTCTAACGAATGACGTACCCTAATCTTTTCACAAACATAAGCATGGGATAACAGATTCCATTATTCTTGAAGAAGACAGAGATTACTAATCGGCCTGTCGTGCCTCTTCAAGGGTGGCAGATGTTTCTATGTTTAATGTATAAATTCTCCACAGCATCCTCAATGCAAAAGATTTCCACCATTTAGTACAGATTTGTCCACTAAATTTAATGGTGGCCATTCTGCCCAATGGAAACTTTAGAACCTCATAAAATACTCAGGTGACAAACACAGTGAACATTGCTCACTATTAAACAATCCTAAGGCACTCTTCAATTTCCTTTCAGTCATCCAGCATTCGGTATACTGATTGATCTACCATGCAAGGCTGTTTAAACCCTTCTTTCTACAATCTCGAGAGCCCTTGTTTCTTAAGAAAGACTTGAATGGACACGAAATATTCTAGAACTTCTACTACACCTCTATCTTCTCAGCACAGGTGCCGACGGCAACATTTTTGAAACACACTTTGCCTAGAACTTTCAGAAAAGAAGCTGGTATTAATGACTCCTCATTTAGTTACATAAATCAAATGTGCTGTAAAGAAGCAACCCTCAAGGTGAATATCGTTTGAAAGCTTTTTCTGACATTATAAAAATATTTTAAACTTGAGCCCTGCATCGTTGGTGTGTTGAGACTGTTTTGGCCAACCAACTAGGAAGACAAAGATGATATTGGGAATGCCCAACCAACTGGGATTCTGTTGAGTTTGAATGACACACTTCTTTCAGGGCTGCCAAAATGGATAGGGCTCTTGTTCCAAGATGAATTTAGGTGTTTTGTTGAATGGCAAAACTAAAAGAACAAGTCCAAATCCATTAAGAACTCTCAATTCTTTCAAATCATATAGTGCATTCTGTGCTATCAAGAATGGCTTCCATAGAAACTTATCAGTACTCTGATGCCATTTCCAATGAAGAAAAACTGATCAGCAGGGGCAGGGGACATAATGCTGAAATTCTTCACATGCTGCAGAACAGAAGTGGCATCTAGAATTATTCCGATGGGCCCAATGTTCAAAATTACAGGGTTTTAATATCCTGTATTTCTGCATGGAGCCAAGAGTGGTAACAAGGAATGGGTGCTTGTGTTTCTGATGAATATGAAAAGTGTTCTACATCCTACAAAAACTTTTAATAGAAATCTGTGGAAATAAAACAGAATTCAAATGAATCGACATCTTAATCAGTCAGTGTCTGAAAGTACACAGGGTACTATATGCTAACAAAGCTCAGGTTCAGTTAGTTCATCCCTTCCAGTCCAGCATGAAGGCTGCTCAAGACTCACTCCTCTCCAACTGGGAGATTGTCTTCAATACGCCTGATAAATTTCATCCTTATTTCTGTGACTCCATCCCCTTTCAAGGTGTCCAGGAGAAATCTGACATCCACAGCCATCTGTACCTATGACGAGAGAGAGGAAAATCCAGACTTTTCAGATATTTACCTACAATAGCTCCCTAAAGTGCCAAACCCCTGTGAACAGGACAAGTACGAATGCCAAGATACATCACTCTTTCCCTGCTTTACTGAATTTATTACATCGCCTTTATCCACCTTTCTGCTTTGCAAGTTATATGTTTCTGTTCTTTTTTCTTGTATTGGGGGTTTTGGAATTCCCTCGATGGAGTTCATTACCACAAATTGTTCTTAGGGCAGATGGTGAAGGGTTCCAAAGTCACTCCCAGGGATACTGTAGGGTTTGACTGTGAGCTACCTAGAATCCCTGGAAGAGGTGGCCCATAAATACAATACAAATAACTGACCTCAGTACTCCAGTCCTGATACATGACAGCACTATTCTGGCTGTCAGAATACTACAGTCTGATAGCCTGCAATTTAACCTTTTTACTAACATGAATGTATAGATCAAGCAGCAAGAGAATAAACCTGAATATATGGGGGAAATGTTACAGAATGTTATGAAATATGGACTAAGTTGGAAAATATTTCAACTGATTCAATGGATGTTCCCAGACTCACAGCCCTAACAGAAATCTAATATTATCAACTGAATACCACCCAGTACTTTAATACACTGCTGATACGTTTGGTTGAGTTAACATAAACCCATGTACTTAATGTCTACAATTTACTTTAAACTTTTCATGGGATGCAGAAAACACACAGCTTCATAGTTATGCACTCCATTAAAAGCAGCCACCCAGAGCCATTGGTTCAAGTGGCATCCCCTTCTTCTCACCATTTCCAGGGCTCCCCGTAGCACCCCACATAAGAGGTTAGAGTAAATAAGAGAGGAATGGTTGTCTGGTAATTCCACAAAATCCACCAGTGGATTGTTTTCCAAGATAAGGGAGAATTCGTCACCTGCCGGACTCCAGTTTGTGATGCTTGGTGTGATACCCAAGTACATTTTAAATGCTACCTATCAAGTGAAACAAATATGAGAGAAGGACTAGGCTCAAAGAGTGAAAGATTTAGCAAGCTACCATTTTTCACACATCACTGAGCAAATGACTAAAAAACAATTCCCAGTAATTCTTCAATGTAACATACTTAAGTAAACTCTTTTCCACACACCAGATTGGACAAGGAAATATTGATCTTAGTAAGTAATTCTCTGCTCGTTGTCCAGTGCCTTCTCCCTTTGAAAACAGTCTTGTAAAATTTAGACTATTGTCTTACATTACTAAATAGGAGAAAAGCATTCTGATTCGCTTTTTCCTGTTACAGAATTGTTTGATCTTATCTAGTTTCTAGATACACTAGTCGAAAAGACATCCATCTATGTTAATAAAAACACTTCTAGTTTATCATTATTTTTTCATTTCTGTTTTATTTAAAGATAGAGACAATTCCAGAGAACAGCTGAAATCAATGCTAGAGTGAAATTTGTTTTGTACCAAGAAAATTGTGTTCATGATACATATTTATAGTTTTAAAAAATCTAAGATTATTTATCATTGATACTAGCAAACAACAAGCATGCAGAAACAATGCCAAACAGTCAAAAAGAGGCATCACCTTTGCAATTACATCAGCCGTTTCTCGAAAGTCATGGCATCTCCCAACATTGGATCGAGCTAGAAAGTCTTCCACGAGTCGAACACCTATGTTGTAGCCCCTATCAAAGCAGCCAAAAGCAAGATGCCATGAAACTGTGATCACACAAAGCAGATCAGGCTGGAGGGAAACACTCTGAGGCTTATTGAGGAGGAAATCCATGCTCACTTATTTTCCCAATTCCAATGACTGGGAAAAATTAAGATTTATTCTGGCAAGTGGACAACCCACAGAGAAGGAGCTTCTGACACTTCTAACTTCAGAACACTTTATTTCTCTGTTACTTACATTTTGTCAAGCTGCTTGTTGACATCTTCGTCATTCTCGTAGTCCTTACACAGCTGAGTGACCAAAGCCCCATACGTCAAAGTGAAGAGCTCCGAGCTCTAGACAAATTCATAACATATTTAGCATATACCAGACAAAAAAGGGTGCAAATATTTAGGGGCTGACCCAGGCACAGCTTAGTCTGTCACAAGAAAAAATGGGCAAGATCTGCTTCATCAGAACAATGTAGAGCATGAATTCTGCAGGAGCTTTTATGGGCTGTAAGTTTTGAATGGGGGTGAAAAGAATAAATAAAACAATTCTGTCCTGATGTGTTAACAGGCAGATATGAAGAACTACTCTGCCTATAGAAAATGGACAGATACCTCTGCTTTTCCATAGCATCAGTGATTCAGCTATGACTTGAAGAAAGCTATCAACAGATTGCTCAGTCCATACATTCTAATCCAATCGTTAATATTCTTGGTATAATAACTGCTCCTATGTTCATTAATCAATACTTGCTTGAGTAAGGATGGAATATGACATATTAGTGGCACTTCCATAGAAGAGACAGTGAAGCTATTGGAACAATGGAGTCACATGTTCCTATGGCCAGACCTAGTCAATAGTTTGGCCCAAACATTCTGGATCAGCGGAACTTTTCAGAGCAACCCAAAACAGTTTCACAAAACTGAATTCCTTGCTTTTGAGATGAAAATGGTCACTGACCAAAAGAAGAAATATAACAATCTCTAAATGTCCAACACTTAAGAGCACTTTTTGGACATTCATTGTTTCAATAATGCTCCACTTAAAAACTCAAAGGAACCACAAAGCTAATCGACTTTCAGCAGAAATGTATGCAGCATCAGCAAAACAAAGAAAAGAACGACTTGCTCTATCTTCCACCCATCCCTAAACCTGAAGAGAATAAACCAACTTCAATCCATCAGATCTTGGCTACACCTTCCTATTAAGAGCTGAAAGCGTCAAGGTTTTAAAAGTTACATAAAGGGCCAGCTATATACATTAGTACACCCTGCTTAAGACTTTATTAAAATCTCATTTTACACAGCAGAAATGTCTAGTCTCAGATTAAGAAACCTAAAACCTACCATGAGATGCATAGATGCAGAAGGTGAAATGAATGGCAAATACCAATACTACAGAATGAAAGCAGCAGGCAAGCAGAAAGGGAGAAAAAAAAAGATAGAGTTTAGTGAGACAATACAAATCACACACATTCTCACATGCTCACACAAAGCCAAAACACAGAAGAGAGAGTCAAGTCATGTGTGAAATTGAGGCTTGTTCAACATGATGCTATTTCTACACAGCAGCAATCTTGAGGGCAACAATCCAACAGACCACACCTCTCTTTCAGAAGGCTAAGAAAGGCTGTTTTTTGCATGGTTTTAATTATCAGATATTTTGCAACCAATGGCCTCCACCAAGGCAGCAAAGGGGGTTCAGGCTGAGAAGAGTAGTGTGTGGCAGAAGTCTCATTTACTCATTTTTTTGTGTATGTCACAATACCCCAGAGTGGTAGAGCTTGCACCACAATACTACTTTTATCATACTGAAGAAAAAAAAAAAGCAAGATCCTGTGGAAGTCACTGCTTGGAATTCTGGTATCCAATGAATGCAGAGACACCATGGCCAACAGCCAGCAGGGGATACTGAGAGTTGTAGTCAAAGGTTAATAGGAGATACCAGATTGGCAAAAACTGCTTTATAGAATTAGAATTATAAAGCTATTATAAAGCTGCTTTGTAGAATTAGAAAGCTTGAAAAGGGAGTCTGAAGATTCCTTTAACCTAGCTGATAATTGCAGAGTGGAAGAAGTTAAGAGAAAATAAAGGAAGGATTAGTAATAAAACAGATCATTTTAGTAACCATTGACAAGGCAGATGGACAAAACAGTACATGACAGAATGGAGAATGCTCAACAGCTAACAGACATGATCATTTCTGAACATTTTCCCTATCCATAGCAATTTAAAAGAGACAAATTATGCTTATGTTCACAAAGGTTCACTGTTCTGGAGTAAAACTGAATGGTGGCACAGACTTGGAAGAAGCCATTTAGGCCACTGACCCTTGTTCAGTGCAGGAATCCAAATTAAAGCATTTCGCCAGTGGCTGTTCAGCCTGGGTTTGAACACATCCAATGGAGAGAAGCCCACTTTTGTGCAAGATGGTTGGTTCCATGGTGAAACTGCTCTTACTGTTAGAAAGTTCTTCACTGCATTCAGTTACAATCTACCTTCCTGTAAGTTAAATCCACTATTCCATGTCCTACCTTCTAGGACATTAGAAAACATCTAAGCAACTTGGACTTTGAACCAGATATACAGGAACCTTAACAAGATGAAAATCTGTCAGACTGATTGGACATAACAATTAGTAGCAAAGAAAGCAAAAGAAGCAGGTTACACATGCTTGAGGGACCTGGTTGATCCTTATATGCCCCAATCCATGACGGTTAAAATAAAGAAGCACTTAGTTTTTTATTAAATGCACCTCAGGTCAAGAGATCTGTCAATAAAATCAGCATCACACCTTCATGTTAAAGAACTAGAATGATCTCAATTGCCCAATATTAGCACAATTACATTAGTTATCCATGTGTTCTACAATACTCATGGAAGAACTCTCTTCTATATTTCCAAGCTCCCTGGACTGTACTAATAATAAAATGCTAAATTAAAGGCACACAACTCAAGCAAAAAAGTGACAAAAGCACACATACAGATACAGACATGTCTTGAAGGGAAAAAATGCACATAAAATAGCATACTTCTATGTAATTTAAAATCTTTTTGAGTACTGCTTATTACCAGGAGGAAAATTAATTTGCTGCACTATTGCTTAAAAATCAGAACTAGTATTAAAAAGATGTGTTCACAGTTATCATTAAAGCCATCTCAGAAATACAGCAATATGAAATGAAGTTGCATTTCTCTCATGGGAAAACTGTACTGTATTAATGCAAATTTAATTCAAGGTTCATTCCCTCTGAGATAAACTGGCCCGACTATGCTAGCCTTTTGGAAGGCCCTCAAGACCTGGATGTTCTCCCAGGCATGGGGGCAGGTTAGGTGAGTCTGTGAAATATTGTTAATTATTGTTGATGGTTATCCTCAGCTGCCACTTTTTAATTTTATTCCTGTTGTATATCCTTATTTTTAATTTTCATTTTGTATTACTACATTGATGTTTTTAAATGTGTTTGCCACCCAGAGTTGCTTATGCAAGATGGATGGTCATATAAATTGAATAAAATAAAATAAAATAAAATAAAATAAAATAAAAATATTGATGAATTACAATCTAATATAGGATTTATTTTTGGAGATTATAATTTTTCCTTTGCCAGATCGTTTCTCAATTCTAATAATTCTTCACCTAGGAAATAAGAGTCTGAGTCAAGGTCATTCCTGAGGATTTCATGAAATGTCCATAGCCTATTAAAATTAATCTAAAGAATTTAGGGCATAAACTATACAAATAGTTTGATTTCCAATTCTTGAATCCCAGAGCTTGAGCTTTGAGAAAGCTACTAACCGGAAAAGATCTCACACCATCTGAGAAACTCTACTTGACAACATTGTACTACTTCTTTACTCTTATTAACAGCACAAATTAGCTCCAAAATGAGTTCTAACGTATTCTGCTAGTTTCATTTCAAATCTTCTTTGACCAGTGCTATAGCCATCTGTGACCTTGTGATGTCAACTCTTGATCTACCTACTTCATGAGTTCAAAAAACAAGAAAAGAAACTTAAGGGCAACTGCAAGCAAATAATGGCAAAAGTGACCAAAACGCTGGCAGGACTGCCCACCTCACTAGATGAAAATCTCCTTGAGTATTCTGGAATCAACCAGACCCATCGATCCTCTCTCCCTCATCCATATCCATGTAGCGGGAGAAGAACCCAGCAGGCCTAAACTAACCAAGTAATGATGTGACTCTGGAAAGGTAGTTAAAAGAAAGTCACTGTCCAATCACCTAATGAAAAAATGAAATCTAGGGGTACCCTTCAACATTTGAGTTGAGGCAAACTCAGGTCTTACACTCTGATAAGAACATAAGAATGATTACGTTGGATCTGGCCAAGAGCCCATCTATTCTAGCATTCCATGCTGCATAGCAGCTGACTGAATGCATCCGTGAAACACACAAACATGGACAGGAGGGAACAGTTCTCTTCCATTATGGCTCCTTAGCTCTAGCATTTAAGTACGCTGCTATGATTCAGAAGGCAGTGGCCGGTCCATAAGCCTAGAAGCTATTGATTGCCTGATCCTCTGTGCATCTGCCTAAAACAATCTGGACTAGTGGCCATTACCACATCTGATGGCCTAAACTATGATTACGTATAGAAGTGCTTCCTTTTACTGGTCCTGAATCTCTGCACATTTGATTTCAAAGGATAACTCTGATTTCTAATGCTGTAAGAGAGAAAATCATATCTTGCCTACATTTACTACACCAAGCACAATTTTCTATTCACCTACAATGTCTCTCCCTACCTATCTTCATTTTATGCTAAAATCTCCTCAATATTGTAGTTTTTTGGTACGGGAAGTTGTCATAGCTGCCTAAGTATTTTGATCACCCTTTTTCCCCCTAACTCTACAATACTGTTTTTCAGTGGCAGTCCAGAACAGTATGCAGTATTCCAAGGATGGTTGCATAACAAATTCCATTACTGTATTGGCAGTTTTATTTTCAATTTCTTTTCCATTGATTCCTATCATTTTATTAAGCTATGAACTCCAAAACACCTTTTCTGTTTAGTGCCTGCCTATTCAGACCCCATTAATGTATATGTTAACTTTTAGTTTTGTCAGTTAGAAAAGAGGTCCTTGGGCAACAGGGCAGAAATATACTAAAATTTAGCCAATCAGCATCCATCTTGATAGACAGTCTAACTGAGAGGGATAAAATTCTTATAGTTCACTACATATTATCCTTTCTGGCCAATTTACAACAACCTTATAAGATAAATCAGTATAGTCACCCGCCCACCTCCCATACATACTTTTAAGATGTTTGGGGGAAAAAAAGAAAACTGAACCGAGGATTCCTTATTCATAGCCTCTGCCCTCCACTCCCCTCTCTTACTGAAACACTCCAAACCAGGTGGAACTACACTAATCCAATATCCTTTCTCTTTGGGATATATTTTGGGGGTCCCAATGCAGGGAGCACCCTCTTGTTTTTTTGAACATTATTTTGAACACAGACAACACTCCCTAAGTTCATGGTAATTCCACAGACTTAGGGCAGCTTTTCTCCATTCATTTCCTTGGGAGAAGGAGCTGATCCAGATGGCATTTGGGCCTTGATTCCATCTCAGTTTGGTTATAATTTGGTTTGCTTAATTTTATTTTATTCTGTTTTCATGGAGCAGAGTTTTCATTTATACTTATTGTTTGCTGCAGATTGTTTCTTGTGTATTTTATCTTGTAAATCGTCAAGAGTCTTTAGGGATTTGGTGGTCTATAAATATGATTAATAAATAAACAGGGGCATTCCAAATAGGATACCCTGCCCTTTGGGAGCTTCACCCAGTACTGACTTTAATTTCTTTTTAAGAACCATTTTATGCACCCATGCATCCTGCCAACATTTTCTTTCAGATTTGGTATATCTGGTGCCTGTTTTTATTCTACAAAATTTTTTTATATAATATTAAAAGTGCTCTGGAACCAGACTTTTTATCTTCCCACTATTATCAAAATGACCTCGTACACCAGAAACATTAGGGAAACATGCCTATTACTTTAACCAACATTTATGACTGTATCAACATAGTCACTAGATTTCCTGTGGTAAATCTGCAAAAAGCTAGTTCTTTGTTTAATTTTAAAGTCTGGGAGATTTTCTTTGGCTGAAACAATTAACCCAGCAAAGGAAGATATACAGTATTAATAATGAATATGCATCATTAATACTGGATAATTAAAATAATGTTTAGTTATTAGAATTAAAGATGAGAAAGGGACCCTAATTACCTAAGTTGGGAAAGGCATATGGGATCAAGAAGAAAAATATCAAATGTAATAACAATATTACAATAATTTATTTATTTATGTATTAAATTTCTCTCCGCCCATCTCCCCCCAATGGGGGACTCTGGGCAGCTCACGCAAAGCATTCAAACCATAACTATATATGAATAGATAAAACGCAAGACGTTTATACGAAACATTACCAAAAAAGAAGAAGAAAGTCCATGTTTGTAATAATAGAACAATAATATAATACATCCTATAGGAGAATGCTATTGCGTGTTTGTAATTCTGTAACATTTAACACACCGCAAAGGGCAATGAGGTTGTTTCGCGTGATATTCCTCCTCCTGATCCCACACGCCGCCTTTCCCACTCAGCTGTCGGGGTCCCTTTCGCGCCTTCCCGGACCCTCTTGGCTCCCTCAGAGGCCGCCCCGAGGCAGCAGCGTCCCCGCCACCCTCTCTGACGCAAAGGCTCC